TGAAGTCCCTATGGCCTTGATGGCTGTTGCCTGGGGGTCATTCTCAGTTCCCAACGGCTGCTTGCCTTCCTTGCCTTATGGCCCACTCCGTCTTCAGAGCTAGCAGTGGTACATTGAATCCTTCTTGTGCGTCTATCTCTCTGCCTTCCTTTCTACTTCCCTCTTCTGCCTTTGCAGGATCCATGTGATTACAGTGGGCCCACCCAGGTAACACAGAAGAATTGCCCTATCTTGAAGTCAGTGATTAGTAACCTCACGTACATCTGCAAAGTCCCTTTTGCCATGTGATATAAACTATTTATGTGGATGACACTAGGGAGGAAAGGTCTTGGGGCCCCAATTTTTTTTTTTTAAACATTTTATTGCTTTATTTGTCAGAGAGAGAGAGAGCACAAACAGGGGAAGCAGCAGGCAGAGGAACAAGCAGACTCCTCGCTGAGCAGGGAGCCTGATGCGGAACTCGATCCCAGGACTCTGGGATCGTGACCTGAGCTAAAGGCAGACCTTAACCGACTGAGCCACCCAGGTGTCCCTTGGGGCCCAAATTTCTTACTACGGATATCTAACAAGAATCTCAAACCAATCAGTTCTGAGACAGAAACTCCTTACTCTGACTCAAACCTATTTCTCCACTTGGCCTTTTCCACCTCAGCACCCGTTGCTCAGTTCAGAAACCTTGGAATCGTCCCTGATTCCTTTATTTTCCTTACTTATCCTCGCTGTCCCAGTCCCATCTCTCAGCAAATCTCATTGTCTCAGCCTCCAAAATATACCCTAAATGCTTCTGCTGTTTTTCATCTTGGCTGCTGCCGTGCTGGTACAAGAAACCGTCAGCTCTTATCTGAACAACCGTGGTGTCTCCTGCTTCAGCTGTCTGCCTCCACACGTGGGCTCCTGTTTTTCACAGCAGCCAGAGGGGTCTTTTTAAAACTGAAGTCAGATAGCATCACATGCCTCTTTAAAAGCCCTTCCAGGGCTTTCCATCACACTTAAAATACGGCTCTTTGCGGTGACCTACAAGGCCTTGTGTGGCCTGGCCCCATCTGTCTCTAATATAGCTGTCCCCTGCCCGCCAGCCTCCCTGGCCTTCCTTCTGCTCCTGGAGCTGCCCAGTCTGTTCCTCCTTCAGGCCTTTGTGTGTGTTTGTCCTTCTGCGTGGGTACAGCCCCCAGAGCTTTGTGTAACCACCTCTTTCTCATTTGTACACTTCAGATGTTACTTCCTCAGACCCTGCAGCCTCTAACCCTGCCCTGACTACCCAACTCAAGGGGCCCTGTCCTCTCCCTTCGCTCTCCTGTCACTCTGTGTCATTGTCTTCATAGAACTTACATCCCCTGAATGTACCTTGTCCATTATTCATTTGTATATATGTTTGTTTGCCGCCACCCAGAGCCAGAGTCAGTCTTGTCTATTACTGTGTCCCTAGTGCAGAACATAGTAGGTTCTTGGGTGAGTGAATGAAGGGTAGTTCTTCTTTTCAGTGATGAAAGTAATATGTGTTAATTATAGAAAGTACAGAATAACTCACAATGAAGTCAGATAATCTTCACCTTCCAGAGACAGCCATTTGTTCATATTTAGAACATGAGCCTTCCCTACACGTAATATTTATGTTCTGCTTTTGCCCTTTTAGATAACGTGAGTAATCTTTATGACCTTAAATATTCTTCTACAACATGATTTTTAGTAGCCTTATGGCAGTCTATCCTTTAGAAACATCGTAATTTAGTTATTTAGTTATTATTTTGCATTTAGGTTCCTTTTAGACATCTTTAAACATACTTTTTTTTTGCATATCTTTGATGTTATCTTATGGAAATTCCAGAAGCATATTTATTAGGTCAGATAGTATAGATATTGTCAGGGCTTTAAATATATATATATAATAAAATATATATCTCAAACCAATATATATAAAATAAAATACATATTTAAAGCCCTGACAATATCTATACTATATCTATCTATACATAAATACATATGTATATGTATTTAAAGCCCTGAAAATATCTATATCTATCTATACATAAGTACATATGTATTTACACACACACACATATATGTGTATGTGTGTGTATATACCCCACGAAAACTTCGGTAAGCTGAAATGGCATAAAGTGAGGAGTATCCCCCCACTTTCCAGAAGTTTGAGTTACACCACTTTGCTTTTAGGAAAGCTCTGCGTTAGTATAGTAACAGCTATTTTCATAAAAGTTAAAATCCTCTTCAGATTTCTTTCCATTAATGTGAGCAGGTACTAATGTAGGTCTTTCCCAAGCAGAGTGGCATAATGCAGACTTTCAGAAAGCAGGGAACACCTGTGTTGCCAAATTGCCTTAGAGAAAGGATACTGTATAGCAGTTAATGTTCCCTCAGCAGAGCATGGAAGTGCCCATTTTGATAAGTATTTGCCAGCTTAAATAGGTAAAAAATGGTATTCTGTTTTAATTTGCATTTGTTTGATAACTAGTGAAGTTGAATTTTGGTAGGTTTGTTGTCTTTCTGACTTTCAAAAATTGCATGTTTCTCTTTTTCTATTAGAGTGTTGATCTTTGTCTTTCTCACATTTAATTGGTATTTATTTCATTATATAGTATGAAGTAGGGATCTAACTTTATTGTCCTCTCCCCTGCAGTAATTAAACAGTACTATTTATTGAATAGTGTTCTTTTCCATTATTGATTTCAGAGGCCACTTCATCACAAACTTAATTTAATATTAGAATAATAAATATTCTAGTTCTAAAATATTTTTTTGCTAATCAAAAATAATAAGAATTGTTATATTCAAACCTGATCTATTTAATACATACATAATAAAACTGGTTAGTGTTTAGCTATTTGAGTGAAGTGTGAATGCTACATTACTCTTTTTTCCTTTAAAGCATGATTGAGTACAAAAATAGGTAATCATTGCCCTCTTATTATCCACAACTACAGAGAACCCACCTATGTTAAGCTCTTGTCCATATCCAAAGTTCTACTGTCTTCCTGAGGGTGGTTGTCTTATTTACAGTCAAGAGTAGCCAGGAAAAGATCCTCAGGCTCATTAAACTGGCCTTAGAGTCCTTAGTTAGGGACCATATGCATCATAGATATATATTTATAGAAGCAGCACATTCAGCAAGTCTTCATTATGATCCTTTGAAGGAATATCCTTTATTTGGTTAGGTTTTTCACATCTCACATTTTATCATACTTGTTAAAAGTTAAGGGAAGCAACTCTGAGGTTTAAAGGATGAAAGGCTCCTTGAAAATATGGCTGAAAATGGAAAGCTTCTCTAGATAGTATTAAGATATCTTGAGGTAGGGAGGGCGCCTGGGTCGCTCAGTTGGTTAAGATATCTTGAGGTAGGTCCTGCATAGTATGAATTATTAAGTGCCATTAAGGCTATTCAGGAAGCATACAGAATGTAATTACTATAAAAGCAGTATGGGGGCACCTGGTCGGTTAATCATCTGACTCTTGCTTTCAGCTCAGGTCATGATCTCAGGGTCCTGAGATCGAGCCCTGCATTGGGCTCCATGCTCGGTGTGGAGTTGGCTTGAGATTCTCTCTCTCCCTCTCCCCTGCCCCTCCCCCTGCTCTAAATAAATAAATAAATAAATAAATAAATAAAAAAAATCTTAGGGAAAAAGCAGTATGTTTACTTCTGTGTTGTGTAAAGAGGGTGCAAATTGGCGTGGTAATGTCTGCATCATTTAATACTTGTTTTCTCTCAAAAGTGGCAAAAAGGTCCCAAATTTGCTCAGCATATAAACACATCCCTTTTATATATTACTTTTGGCCTGAAAGGTAAATGCTGCTTTAATGGAACACTTCCTGTCAAAAAGTAATAACACTAATACATGTTTGATGTGCCATATTTCATTTATTGCTTTTGCTGAGATGACCAAATAGTCCAATGAGAACAATGTTGCTAATTTTAGAGATATCTGTGTTCACTATAGCTGTTGGAAGAAGATTGATTTTATGGTAATGTTATCTTGTTTCGGAAGCAGTCATTTCTACTGTGCTGTCTTTTTAGTTCTATGCTCATTTTCAGAAAGAGGGTATTATTTAATTGTGGATGTCTGCCCCAAACTTGAATACACAGGGCTCTGAGACAAGAATGGAAGGCAGGAAATGAGGGGAAACAATGAAGGATGCTAGGGCGGGGGGCGGGGAGGGGGCAGTGCAGAATGGGAAGGGTGCTTCATGAAACCCTTTAGTGCTTATCATCATTTTTACCAAAATATAATTAGAAAAGGAAGGAAATACAATATATGTGCATATGTGGTTAGTAATATTGGAGTGGTTGAATAGTTAGAATGAGGCTGTTATCCATGTGCCCACTCTGCCTTCATTATCAGACACAGAAGGGAATGGGCCAGGCCCACAGCTGAGGGGACAGAAAATGTTGTAAACATTGTTTCTGCTAGAGAAATGGAGAATAATCTCCCTCTCAAATAATAAAATCTTTTTAAAAAGAAAATAAAGAAATGGAGAATATCTCTTCAAGGATTAGAAGCGGAAACTATGCAGACCAACTTGTTCAAGGTTGTGCAACAGAATACGGATAGCGTTGGATCGTTTTGTTTATTTGTTTCTGACAGTCTCTGCTTGTCATTGTAACAAAGTGAAGATGTATTTGTTTCTGGTAGACTAAAGAATGGTGAAAATGTGCTCCTATCCTAAAAATAAAATCACTATGGTATTATGGCAGTTCTTGAAGATTTTTAAGAGTCTCAAAATTCATGACAGTGTGTTCACTGTCCTCTAGATTATGAAAGGAATGGAGCAAAAAGGAAACATTTGGAAGCAAGATTTTAATTCTGCTCAAAATCTTAGTGACTATTTTAGATTTTGTGTATGTGTATGACTTCTGAAGTATAAATACTATTATTTTCAAAGGTATGTTTTATGAAATCACAGTTGTACTCTTCTCCTCCTGAGAAAACATTCTCCTGAGTTGTATACCTCAGTAGTGATTTCCTAAAATGTCTATTTTTGCTTTTTAGATGCTGATAGACAAGATTCCATTAATCTCTTCCTGGGAGTTTTTCATCCCACTGAAGGGAAACCTCATCTCTGGGAACTCCCAACAGATTTTTATTTGCATCATAAAAATACCATGAGACTTTTACCAACAAGAAGAAGGTATTTTTCTTCTAGTCTACTATGTAAACTCAGATTTGATGTTACTTTAAGTATGAGAGGCTTTCATTTTTGAGCAATAATCGCATAGGCTAAATAGTCAGTCTTACTACATGTTTGCTGTGAGGAATTCCATATTGTTGGTATCCTGATAACTACGTCTGGGAAATTGTCATTAATAATTGGTAGCTTGCATTTTTCGTAAGATAGAAAGTTCCAAAACTTCATCACTGAACATAAGTTGTAGCTCCACTAAGACAAACCATATTTCTGAGTGCTTCCTACAAATGTGGAACTTGAAAGAACCCTCACATTTAAGGATCCAGTCTTTAGTATTTCAAGTGAGGGGTCCAAGCAGCATCACTTTGGAATTCTAATGTTCTTTCTTTCCGGAAGCACAACCAGCTCTTGATGACACTGGTGAAGACAGGGAACTAAAGCAGGGACTCTGGTGGCAGACACCACTTCCACATCTCCTTTTACTCAGGCCTTTCTAGAGTCAATAGCTGTTTCAGGTTCTTTTCATGACAGTTGAATTGATATTAATATTCTCAAAAGAAATAAAGTACTTACCTGTAGTGTGGTCTCTGGGTCAGTTTGACTCTCTGTAGTTGTGTGACCTTGGATTATTTAACCTCTCCCCACCTCATTTTTCTTACCTGCAAATGTGAATGATGGGACACACTTCACAGAGTCATTGTGAGGGTTCAGTGAGGGTTAGTGAGAAGACTCTTGAGTGTTTTTAACTGAGGCATCACGTACTAACATAGTGAATTTTGCTACATGAGCAAAATTTTCACACACAGGAGGCTGGAGACTGGTGCATTCCGCTCAGAAGCCTACAATGTCAAGTTCTCTCATAATGCTTTTTCTCACAGCATCAATTTAATATGGCCCTTATTTTGTGCAGCGGTGCTTCCCAAATACTAGGGGAGGTCACTGCCAGTCTGGGCTTAATTGTGTGGACAGGCCATAGGCAACTGGACAATTAGCAAGTGCTGATGTTACAGCTGTTACCAAATTCTGTGTTACTTCAGGAGTGCTTAGAATATATAGGGATGGGTCAGAGTTTCTGTTTCTCAGATTTGTTCTTGTAAGTGCCTATTGTTGGAATAACCAACTTACTATTTGAGTTTATTTTCCCTGTTAATGAAGCACTGCTGGTTTTCACATTAAATGATTGCCTCTGAATTTTTGCTGATAAAAAAAAGTGGAACTAATTATGTTTATTGGGTGAGAGATGAGTGTAAATAACCCATATTTAGCTCTGGTGATGCAGTTGACTATGGGTAAATGTGGGTGATTTTCCGAAATTTTATATTACCTTCCAGTATTAAAGCTATTAACACAAAGGTTGGGAAGAACCAAAACTCAATTTTTTACTGCAGAAATTAGCTCATGTATTACAAGTGTACATTAAACCACTTGCGTACCTTGAGTTACATAACTGATAACTAAGGCAGGCAGTGTTGGAGCTTATTTGTGACATCAAAAGAAGCTGCTGTTATAGCCCCATTTTCTAGAAAAAAAAAAAAAAGGAAACTGAGGTTGCAGAGAGAATGTGTCTTGACTGAGATAATTCAGCTCATTAGATGATTCAGCAAGAATCAGCTACAAGCCTGCCACTGAAAATAAAGTTTTATCAAAGTAGATAATATGGCTGTCTCAGTTGGTTTGGTCTCCTGTTTTTGTGGGTTTTTTTTTTTCTCCAGAATATCACAATTCCAAAAATCAGTTTATGCTATCAACAGTAGATATTGCTCATAAACAGTACTTACAAATACTGTAAGATAAATTTCAGTGTTTTTATTTTGGACTTTTGGGTGTCACCCACCTATCCTGGTTATTTTGGTGACAGTTAATATTATAATTCTCAGATAAAATGAATAGTTTAGCCAGAGGCAGTTAACTGGGTGAGAGCGTGGACTTCAGGGTTGGGTGGGGCTGAGTTAGAATTTCTGCCAATGTGTGACCTCTGACCTATTAAACTCTGGAAATTCTTTTCCTCATCTGTAAAATGGAGAGGACTATGTACACCTCATGGGTCATTTTGAGGATTAAGTGAGAAAATGTGTGGGAACTACTTAGTACTGGGTCTGACACAGAATCAACACAGTCCTGAAGCTGCCAGGCTTTGGAGAGAAGGCCTCCAGTTAAAACCTGTGTGACTGTGGGCAAGTTACATAACTGGTCTCAGTCTCAGTGGCCATTATCAGTAAAATAGACATAATAATACCATCTAACTTGTACATTTTCTGAGCATCAGATGGGATAATATAAATGCTTAGCACATAGCAAATCCAACAGATGTCAGTACTGTGATTATTCTCTAAGGAGAATATATTCCCTAGTTGTAACATTTATTAAAAAATCATACAGGATGACCATAAAATCTGGAAACTTAGATAATATTATTTTATCATTTATTATAATATAATAGCAATAAACACTTTATATGTATTAGCTTGTGTTTCCAAACTGGGTGACCATCCTGTATTTTATATTATGTTTACCAGTGATTTATTCTGGTATATTTTTATTGAATGATAAGGGAAGGGGGAATAATTCTAGCTCTGACTAGAGTTCATCCAAACCAGGTCCTCTTGAGGTAACTACTTCTATTACTCAAAATCCCACATTTATTGATCTGCCTAGAACCGCTAGATGAAGCTTTGTTCTGAATTAGGTTAATATGTCATACATCATTTAAGATGCTATTTATTGATTCAGTGTTTATCATGTCACCAAGATGTTTTTAGATATTAAGCACTAATTACTTCATTGACTCAGAGTTGGGCGGCTTCCTGGCTCTATTCACTGTCTGATGTGTGAGTTCCCTCTGTGTCTCCTGGGAGAGGTCGTCCGGCCTGTGCATGACTAGTCCTGGTTTGTCCTCTGGGCCGTGTCTGGCTGAGGCAGTTCTCAGACAGTCCACTTACACAGTTCTTCCCCACATCACCCTGAGCTCTGCTGCTAATCCCAGTTTGACCCGCTGAGACCTTAAGAACATGATTTCCCTATTCACTTTATAGTCTGCTAATTATTTGAAGACAAGTTCACACCTTCTCCAAAATCTCTTCTTCGGGTTAAATAGCCCCACTCTCTTCAGCTGTTCCTCACAGACTGTGATCTCAAGTCTCTTTGGGATTCAGAATGCTCTCGTATGGATTCCAGTTCATGTCAATGTTCTTTTTAAACGGTGGTACCCAGACCTGGGTTCAGTAATGGTCACGGTTTGATCTGATTGGTGCCAAGTGTTATGGAACCATTAGAGCCATTACTCCTCTTGGCCTGGTTACTCTGTGTTTATCATTAACTACAAGATTGCACAAGCTATTTTTAGCAATGCCATCATAATGTTGACTCTCTGAGCTTCCTGTCCATTAGAACTCTCAAGTGTTTTTAACATGGCCTGCTACCATGCCTTATCTATACCATTCTTGTATGTTCATTCAAGCATTCTTGGTCATGTTCATATATGCTTTGCCTGCTTCCAAAAGAGAGGGTTTAAATGTATATCCTTGTTATTAACTATTACCTGTAGATTTGTAGCTTCTTCAGTCATCTTGATTCTAATACAAATCCTTGATGAAAAATGTTGAATAGAATAAGGTAGATGACAGAGCCCTCTGGGACACAACCAGACAACTCCTTCTACCTTAACATTGTTTCATAATTTTTGGTTTGGAATTATTTAAATGGATGTAACTTACTCTACTGTCATCATTTAACTATACTGTCCTCCTGCCCCCATTTCTTTATCTTGTTCACAAATATTAATTACTTTGCTAAAGTCCATGTGTTATTTCAGAGGGCTCCCATGTTTGTTAGGGGAATGAAAGAGTCTTTTTTTTAAGCCTCCCTAATCTTCCTATGTGAGTGAGCCAGTGGAATTGAGCACTCTTCATACTAGGGACCAAAGAAGAGAAGAGCAGCTGACTTATTAGGTATTGTATACAGAGGAAGAAGTGACACCAACTTGCAGTCTCAGTCCTCTGATCCCTGGTCCCAAAGCAGGTTTCTGTCCTGCTTCTGGTGCTCTTCCTCTGAGTAAATGTATGCAGGGGTGAGCTAAGTCCTCTCAGATGCTCTCATCTTCTATCCATCTCAGTTCATCTTCCCTGGGGTGGGGATTTCTCAGGGGCTTCTGTGCTTCTGAGACCCACCCAGTGGTGTTGGACTTTTTAAAAAGTATTGTTACATTGCTTTATCTTGCTTAGAGAAATAAAGTTTAGAAACATTCAGAAAAAAAATCTATGGCCTGTTTCAAGTCACTAACAGATTCTCTTAATTCTTTTTCTCCACATGGTAAATTCTGAGCTTAAACACATTCTTTATCATGTTTACTTCTTTATCTTAGGTAAGCTAATCATGAGCAACATTCTTTAGGAAATTCCTTATGTACTAGCTGATACCTTCTTTATTTTCTTCCTCTGCCAAAATTAAGTGATTACAAAATAGAAATTACACTGTGTGCACATGCATGTGCATGCACACACACACACACCTTACATAATTAGTCCATGCTTTTTCATTCTTCTGATCTGATAGTCTGGTTCTCCTATGATAAAAGCAAATGAGATTAGACTGGTGTATTTTGGATGTGGATTCATGGAAGTCACTGATCATCTTTTTAAGTTACTCACAACACATCTCTATGTAATACTTGATTCTGTTATCTTGCCGGAATTGACATCATACTCATTGATACGTAGTTTTTGGAATCTATTACCCTCTCACTTTTGAGCGTCAAGACTGCATTTGCCCATTTTTAGTGTAAGTTCCATTCTTCATTTTTTTTTTTTTTAAAGATTTTATTTATTTAACAGAGAGAGACATAGCGAGAGCAGGAACACAAGCAGGGGGAGTGGGAGAGGGAGAAGCAGGCTTCCCGCAGAGCGGGA